ATCAATGAAATCCCTTCCGTTAAATCCGTACAAACGGCGTTAATTATTTTTCTCTTTCTTCTACTTCCTCAATTAACGCCGTTTGTACGGATTTAACGGAAGGGATTTCATTGATGCAAATTTTATTAAGTGAGGATGTAATTGATTTTTTTTATTTTATTTTCAGATTACATAATTCAAAATTCAAAACCATATTGTAATACAGAAAAAGACAAAAAATGTGGATGCAGGAAGAAATTTATAAAGGTGTGGGAAGAAACTGTTACGTATAAACAATTGGTAGAACGATTCAATCAAATTTACTACTATTAGTATAGTCAAGAAAAAAAATGTTATGTATTCTTAGGTTAAACTTGTTCTTAATTTTAGAGCTCTCAAAATGAATCCGGCTCATCACGGATTCGGACCGGGTTAAGTTTGAAAAAATTGCATTTTTTTATACGAGTCAGATTTCAACTTGCCTCATTTAAATCCGACTTATCTGGGTTGAATTCGTAGTGGATTGACCTACCAATCCACCTACCTAATTTTATTTTATTAAAATTTAAATTTAATTTTATAAAAAAATATTTATTATTTTTTTTGCTTGAAAAAATTATTTAAGTTTTCTATTTTCAAAATTAATTAAACACACATCTTGGGAGTGAAATTTGTTTAGATAGGTTTGTAATTTTTTTTATTTTTAAAAAAAATGTAATTAAGTGAGTCCGTGAATCAACCCGTTTACCCACCAACCAACCTGTGGTGGGTTAGATCGAATCCGAATTTTTTTGCCTCGCTAATAAATGAGCTGAGCTCATGATGGACTGGGTCGAGTGACCCGTTTTGATGGCTATACTTAATTCTATACTTTAAAATAAATTTGTTTAGCCATTAAAGCTTTAATGATGTGTAAATTAGTTGCACGCTGTCAAATTTAGCATTGTTAACGAAATTAAAAAACAAAAAACAATTTCAAATAAATTCTTCAAGTAATTATAAATCGTTGAGAGATTATTTAAGTAAGTTTTAAATTTTAGTAAAAAAGGTTTATCACTTCTTAACTTTATTAAAATATACATGTTTAAAGATATGAATATATTTAATGTGATACTATAACAAGAAATAATGATTTTTAATTTTAGTTATATTTATTATCATTCAATTTCTTAATGCAAGGTTCATCTAATACTTCTAAATGGTTATGGGATGACCCTCTTAACAGTAAGGTGCAAAAAAGGTAATAGTCAATAGAATTCATGGTCAAGGGAATCAAATTTATACAATGGCTTTCATTTCATATATAGATTTTAACCAATACAAATACATAAATATGCACAGAATTAGCTACAGGGAAACTGTTACAAGTAGGATGAAAGAGAGTGTTAAATTTTATCTGTTTAAGAATGTTTAATCTTTAAACAATTATATGAGAAACAAAAATGGCAAGATTTCATTCTGTAAGAGAATCAAAACAATTCTGCATTATAAAATTCTGATTATAGCATATAGATCTATCTCATCTGTGAAAACTCACCTGACATAAAAACATTCATTTCCTCCAACATCAGAATTGGCAACTTGTACTCTTCTGCATCACTGCCTATATCTATATACACTTTATCCTTAGAGAAAAACCATTTTATGCTATTGACCAAATTTCATCATATCTAACCAACCTATTACAATCTATAGTGTATATATATATATATAATATATATCATCTATGGAACAGTTTATGCTAAAAGTGGTCACCATGAACATGTAGCCACACAATCTTGTGGCAGCAACCCCTCTTCTTGATCCAATGTGCCCTTAACAGATTGATAAAACTCTATCCATGAAGAAGTGTTGGAATCCACAGAACCCCAAGAAAATGTTAGATTTGGACTTGCAGGGCAGGCAGTGACCAAATCCAAAACTGAAACTGGTTTGAGGGTCTGTGGAAAATTGAATGCTAAATTATCAACTTTGTGTTCATAAATTTTCCCATTTCTGTCCAATTTGTACCTTGATGTGCCTTGAAACTCCCCTTTAGCCTCCCATGGAACCCGAGGCACACCCCTCAGGTTCCACCTAATCAATATCACATTCTCTGAAGGTTGCCATATCCTATACACATCCAGAGCAATCTCACGGAACAAAATTTTACCATGAAACCTCAATGCCCAGAAGATCAATTTGTACTTCTCAATACCAGTAAATGTGTTCAAAGGGTCCTTGAATGTTATATCATCCCTGAAATAATCAAATTCAACCTTAAAAAACTCATTTCCTCCTCTAGGAAGAACCACACACAAAAACACCTACAACAAAAGCACACATCTCAAAGATGAAAATTCAAGTACTGAAATGAACAAATTCAACATTCAAAAGCCCGTTTCCCCTGGTAAGAATCATCTTAATCTAACACAAAATCACCAACTCAGTTGAAAATTCAACACCAAAGGCACAGTTTCCCTGTAAGAAACATCTCAAGTCCAACAGAAACCACACACATATGAAAATTCAAATACTGATATGAACAAATTCAGCACTGAAAAACCCATTTTTACTCTGCGGGAAAGTTTTAAATCTAACAAAACCATACTAACACGACACAAGAGCACACATCTGAAAGATGAAAACTCAAAAACCATATTAAATGTGACAGAAAATCACCCATCCACACACAATCGCACAAGAAGAAAATTCATTTATAGAACGATCAAATTCAGCACTAAAAACCCATTTCCCCCTATAAGAAACCTCGTAAATCAAACATAAAACCACACACAGATAACACCAAAATCACAGAGCTCAAGTACGAAAACTAAATACCCAGATGAGAAAATCACCTGTAGATGTCATAATTGAGGTCTTTGACGAAGATCAAGGGCATGTCCTCTCGGAGGGTCCTGACAGCAAGGCCAAGATTGAGATAAAAGTCATCCTTTTGCTGCTGATGCTCATCTTTGGCACCAGTTGTTGGTGTGCTCCCCAGAGCAACCTGTGCAGTGGGAGTTTGGAGGGTGGAAAGCGGAGTAGCACATGAGGTGAAGAACAAAGAAGTACCCTGAGAAGTTGTTGCTTTTGCTGATGAAAGCGTTTGGAAAATGGGTTTTGATTTGGTTTGGGGAAGCAGAGAGGGTTTGAGGTTAGATAGAAGAAAAGCCATGGCCTTTAATGCTCAAAGGGTATCCAAGATTTCAGCCCTTCATCTGATTGAGAGAGAAAAAGAGAGACTTGTGCTGTTTTCGTCTCTTGCATTCGGTGAACGTGTGTGGCGGCTGAAGCTAAATTTTGAGCCTTTCATTGTGTCATTCGTAACTATTTTGAGTGGCCTTTGGATGTGCCCATCAAATGAAATCAAAATGAAAAAAAATGAAAAGACAAAGTTTTGGCCTTTCTTATGTTGCCACCTTCATTTTGCATTATTTTTCACTTTCATTAAATCACTCTATATTAGGGCAAAACCGAAAACTTTTACTTGTTTTTGACCCGCGAAAAAATGAGAGGTGGTGTGTTTTGTTATAATTAATTTTGTAAATGGTTTTTTAAGTATGTAAATAATTATTAATTTTTTAGAAATTATTAGAAAGATTATTATATATTTATGGTGTTATAATTTATAATTGAATTTTAAATTATTTCTAAATGAACCGTTTTTGGTGTAAGTTACAATAAATATTAGATTAAATACGCTATTAATTAAATTTTGTCATTTTAATTTATAGCTTAATAAAGAAAAGTAATTTTAATTTTTATTAGTTTAGTTAAATTCTTATAAGAATGACCTATAATTGAATACATATCAATTATTATATGTAATTTTGTTATAAAATAAATTAATAATAAAGAGGAGAGGAGAAGAAACAAGAGAGAATGGAGACTCACTTTCTTATTTGGCTTATTATTGATAGGAAAAATTATATTTATACCTATAAAATGTAACCCAAAAGATACAATAGAAATATGTAAATTCATAAAGAATAATCAATTATATGAATAATTGTAACAAATCAATCATACGTAAGGACAACCATTACTTTTATAACATTTTTCTTTGTATTGAAAAGAGAGTGTTTCTAGTTAAAACCTTATTAGAAAACCTCTTAAGGACAAAAACATAATAAAGGTAAAAGATAATGATATTTTGACATCAAATTTTCACGAGCCACGTGTCGTGTTCCTATTGGTCCATGAGGATAAATGTTTTAAAAAAATTGAAATAGGGTGGAAATTGAAGGGCTGTAGGGTTTTGTTTTAAGTGGGATTCCATTTGGAATGGTTTCAAAAAAGAGAAGTTCATTTTGGTGAGGACTTGTCCTCCTTTCCACCTACCCAGAAGCGTGCTTCTTCCCACAAGCATCCCCAACGTTGTCGAAGTTTGAAGTCCACTAGAGTGTCGTCATTGACCACAACAATCTGCCCTCCTCCCTCCCATCCACCGGCAAGCGTTCCTCTACCCACAAGCGTGGCTACCGTTGTCAAAGTTTGGAGTTTGCCGGAGTGTCGCCGTTGATCGCAACGTTGTATGCGCTGCCGTTTCGTTGTTTGGAAACCAACGAACTTGGAAACACCATTGGAGGTGGTTTTTGAAGTTGCTCGGTTCGTTTTCGTAATTCATTGTTTGTGGTTCAATTGGTTTAATTTGTTTAACAAATTTTGGGCATTTAGGGATTGTTGAGTTATTTGAGTGTTTGTCGTGTATCATTAAGTGTGATTTGAAATTTGTGTAGAACATTTTGTTGTTGATGTGGTTTTTGGGTGTAAAGTATGAAGTTTTTGGGTTTGTGGTTGTTGTTGGGTTATTTTGACGATGATTTTGTATTATGTTTGGTTTGAGAGGTATTGTTGGGTTATTTTGATATGGTTTTTTTGTATTATGTTTGGTTTTAAATAGTTTTGTTGGGTTATTTTGACTATGGTTTTGTATTATGTTTGGTTTGACAGTGATGGATTGCATTAAAGAAGAAGGTCATAACAATGTAAGTAAAATTCATGTATCAAAAATGAATTAGTTTGTATGAAAAATGTTGGTTAATGGTTATTTATTTTGAAAATAATTTGTAGTTTCGATTGCGGTCGTGGTGCGACACCAAAGCCATAGTTGGAATTAATGGTATACTAAGAGAAATTGATTGGACACGTATCGGCAAGACTTCATTCAAGTGGTGTCTTTATATGAACATGCCGATTGACTTATGCATGTTGTGACTTTGGCAAGTGTACCAAATCGTTTCAAGTAATAAACCATGGCAATACCAGATTCGTTTCCCAAGAGACTTGTAATACTAGAGAATTGTGCGATTAACAACTCATTTAGACTCAAGAGCGTAACATTCATTTACAAGCATGTGCAAGAAAGATAAATTTATACATAATTACATGGTTGGACTTTGGTGTTTGAAGGCACTTAGAAATGGGAATAGACTAGAAATGGTAATGAAATGACATTGCTAAGGGTAGGTTTCACCTATTTCACTCTTGTGCATACACAATATCATCTTCTCTCCATCAATTAACTATAGTCC